ATATCACACAGCATGACATACCATAATTCCACGTTCATTTGAAAGAAATAAATGTGTTATTGATCTCATGCTGCTGTTAAGACCAACACGTAGATCCAAATTTTCATTTGAAACCCCTCCCCCATAGCGAGGTAGAACATTCAGCCAGAAACAGGACACATACAAAACGGCAACGGTACTCTGTCTCTGTGGGTGCTCTTGTCTGTGTCTGTCATAACATCCACTAGTGATCACAGTACCATTGAGCGAGTGTAACCCATGACACTGTATTTTTGGTCATTGTACTTACACATTTTCAGACTTATTTTTATTTGATTTTAACACAGAAAGAACCTGACCAATGATACTGTATGTAGTAATATGTTATTATTAATCTTAGTAGTACTAATAGCTATTGCACTAGCATGTCTTCTAATATATCTGTGCAAGTGCTGAGAAATCAAATTTCTTTAGCCACCTCTGTTGACTAGTAAAGAATTACCAGTCTATGCAAATTTATTTTACTCATACATAAGAATGTATAGGCTGTTTCAAATTAAAGTTGTATGGGAATGAGTTACTAATGTGAATTTTTTATTTGTAGATTTAAACCTTCGCCTACAGTATGTTTGGACAGTTTTAGTGCACATCTAAATGTTACTGTTTATAGTTCTATTTACTCTAGTTCCTTTATGTGTTGGTCTAATGTAATGGATAGACACTAAAAGTGAATTATTGGCTGTCAAAATGTATCTTTTGATCAGTATGGACAACTTAAAAGGGTTTATAGAAGCCTATAGTCAACCAGCTTTGAAATGGGTTCAAATCAAAGTCTGGAGATGGTGTGTAAAATTCAGATCTAAAATACGGCAGTAGGTTTCAATTGGTTAGACTCTAAAAAATAAATCTCAAAGCATTCACTGTATGTATTACTCAGAATGTCATGCTGATGTGATTCATTTTCTTCAAAGCTCAGCATCTAATAGAAAGGAACGTGTATGCCACAAAATCAGTTTCATGGAAGTAAATAAGATCATACAAACAAAACAGGGGAGTTTAAATGCATTTATTTTCTTCCCTTTGATATTTTTGCCTCTCCTTAAAAACCGTTATCTTTCATTAGTTATACAATCATGATTGTCATTATCAGAGAATTTCCTTCAAACTCTACCAGTTGTCACTTCAGGCAATAGTGAAATTGTAATTTGCCGATTTCTAAATCAGAATGTCTTAGGAACCTCAAAAGGAAAAGGCTGGGTGAGGCTTAAAGGCTTAGGCTCAGATGGATGGCATTTCACATCATAAATCACCCATCCATTTTCTAACCTCTTTATCCAACACAGGGTTGTGGGAGAGCCAGAACCTATCCCAGCAATCCACAGGCTCAAGGAAGAAGGCACCCTGACAGGATGCCAGTCCATCTCAGGGCACACACAGACACAAACATGCACACAACCACACCAGGGCCGATTTCCCCAGGAGCCACTTAACCAACCAGCATGGTTTTGGACTGTGGGAGGAAACCAAAGCACCCAGAGGAAACTCAAGGGCACCGATGGAGAAAATACAAAAAAATTCACCCAGACAGCTCCCCAAGAATGAAACCCAGGTCTCCAGTTCTACAAGTTAGCACTTCTAACTAATGCACCACTGTACCGCTCTACAGAATACACCTCCATGCCCTAACTAAGGATACTATCAAAGATACACTCTATTGCATAGAGCCAGATGGATCCATCCCATTGTGTAATATAATGGACCACATAAATCTGAATATACCTCGCACTGAAAAGAGTGAGAGAGTTCAGAGTTCTTTATACATGCAGAAATTGACCTTTTTTTAAAGATGCTTCTTTATTGTATAAATCTAAAGGAGGAAATAGCTTATATCCAACTTCCTATAACAAAAAAGTGTAATTTCTTTTAGCAGAGTGCAAGGATACCACTCCTTTTAGAATAAGAACAATCCAACTTCAAATAATATTCAATTTCTGGGCAATCATAGCGCTAGAATACTTAGCATACAACCTCTTGGTAGAATGTAGATATTTCCATCACTGAACAGATATGTAAAATGCAGATGAGCACAAACATAACAGTTGGATAGCAGCACTGATGCTAAAGGAAAGGCGCAAGCAGATGATTCAGCCTTACCCAATTCAGTTCTTTGCTAGGAAAGCTGTTTCCTCGCTTTTCTGGTGCCAAACTTCTGGAACTTAGGTCATGGCAAATCTGACTCTAAAGCACTAACCTCTGTAATAGAAATGAAGCTCTCTCTTTTCTTGCCAGGAGATGTCTGCCTTAAATCACAGATACTTAGATACCACATACAAAGTGCTGTGAAGTTAAGGTATGGGATGGCAAGAGAAATAATCAATCTGAGCTTCCAGGTCAGTGTGTTTTTGTATTTGGCAGCAGTTTTCTTTGTCAAAAGCCTGTTACTTCCCAATTATTGTGGATGCCTGGAATGCATCAGCAGGGCATGATGGACCTGGCATATCTTTAAAAGGGCAAATACGCCGAGATGTTTTCATCGTAAAGCTGCGCTAATAATGACCGAGGACTGGCAATAGATTTGAGTTTGAAATGCTGAAAAGCACAAATGAAAATGCACTTTATTTGCAAATCACAAGAGACTGCTGTCAGCTGGAGCTGGAGAACCTAATTCATTGCAGAAAATAACAAACAACAGCTTACAGTACATGTTCTGTACTGGTGTTTTTCATCTTAACAAAGGATTCCACATGTCTTTGAAACTAAAGGACTGACCAAAGTAGGAACTAATGTTTTTCCATTACCTATATCCTTTGTAATGGTGATAGGGCCCGAAGAACAGATTTTTATCATTTGTGGTGGATTTGGACAGGATACTGGTGTTAAATTCATGTTGCAAAAAGTACTGTGAGATCTTTAGTGTTTACTGTGAGGACAAAACTTTGGTTCAACACACTGATGTTCACTCCTGGTCCTGGAAGGCCACAGTGTCTTCCTGTTTTCATTCCACACTGAACTCTTAATGGCTGTATTGTAACTGTTGAGTTATTCATCTGTAGTTACACTGCTTTCACATCTTTATTCATTGGAAATTCGAAGTTACCTAAAATACCTGATGGACTGTGCCCAGGACCAGGAGCAACACTGGTTTTGCGGGTTTCAGGTGAAAGTGCCTCAGCACAATCTCCCCTGGGGACTGGTGTGGATTGTATTCGCAAGAGTGAAGTACTGTATAGTGGAAAAGCCCATTTGCACTACTGCTAGAAGAACTTGATTTTTCTTTGAAGAGTTCCATCCATGTTTTTACTGTATACCAGACTTCAAGATGGTATAGCTGCTGCTTATTTCGTGTTTATTATATTTAAAAAATCCAGCAATATGGTAGCTCTGCTCCTTAGTAGGTTTCATATAGTTTAACCAAGTTAATAGCTGAACCAAGGCAACCTGGTCAAATTGCGTAGAAAAGCTGAAGTTAAATTCAACATACAGTAGATGTCAAATTCTTATCACGTTGTTGCTACACTTTCATCACGAACATTTAAAAAAAAGGTGCCAGTACATTATATTGACTTGTCTTTTACAAAACAGTCAGCAGTTTTGTGATTTCTACCATTATGTTTTTACCCTCCTGCGATGCAGTTAAACACAATTTTTTAAAAACAGGGACATTTTTAATGAATAATTTCTTCATCGGTTTACAAAAATAATTAGCATGCAATGTGAAGTACGTGAGGTGAATTGAATGTATCTCAGATAATTCAGCTTGCCCTTTCAAATAATTCCCAAAAGGAGCTTTTATCTTTAAGTAATTAAGATGTTTGTTTTCAGTGTCTGGAGCTAAGGAATGTGTTGGATTTTGCACAATCAACATATGATCTCATTTTCAAGGTGTACAGTATCATTAAGTCTAAAGCATTTAATCATTTTTTGACTGATATTACTGGTGTATGTCTGTATTAACCTTTCTATTTCTCCTCTTAAGAGTGAAGTGTCATTTTGCAACAGTTTTTGGAGAATTACAGTGTGTAAGTTGTGAGAGATGTGGAGGTGACTGCAGTACATCAGCTGCTGTTCCTGTGTGTCATTGCACTTTGAAGTTCTGTTGAGTTACCCTTGTATGTGCTCCTTTTGTCCATTTCTGGTATGAGAAATATGTACTTTGCTCCAGATATTCATGTTACTAATACTATGCATATGTTATGTTGTGGACTAAAAAAGAAACACCTGTTTTAGACCGAGAGAGCTTTGGATCCCAGTTTTGTGTGAAGAATGCTGTAAAAAGGAGTTTTTATTTAATCTGATGTAAGCATTTTAATTATTTAGTCATTAGAATTAGTAATTAAAATCTGCATTTCAGAGATGATTTAATTAAAATATGATGCAGTGGAAGAGGATGCTCACTGTTTTATAAATAATATAATTTAATTCGATTTAGTGATCTCTGTCAGTCAATAAACGTACAGAAATATTCATTTTAAACGCGTTAATCACGTTTCTGTTTCCCCGTTGAAATAAGAAAAAAGGTATTTTTTTATTTTGTCAAAGGTTTTTTTTTATTTATTTCTTTTGCTACACAATACATGACCAATTATTGAACACAAGTTAAGGTAATGAAGATTAAAATGACGAAACATAAATCAGAAAAAAATAAAGAAAAGAAAAAAGAAAGACAAAAGAAAAGGATGAGGAAGCTAGTCTCTGAAGTGCAGTATATATACAGTAGGCTGTATATTTGCTGCGACCCTCAGAATAAGCGGATTGAAAACGAATGGATGCAGTATATAACCTATACTGTTATTTACCTACTATGTACAGTAGTTCAAACTAATATGCATCCGGAGTCTATAATTCGGAAGCGTGTTGTTGAGGAGCTCATTTTCAACCGGATTATAGCCCAAGAAAACGTAATTTCAGGGGAATGGATTTTGATTACAAGGGCAGCAGGTAACTGCCCCGAAAAAAAAAAAAAGATTAATGGGAAGCAGGAGTGTTTTAAGGCGATCGCGTCAGTAAGTGCAATAAGTGCAGTTAGAAGAGAGGTCTAAGAAACTTTTGTCCCTCCCCTCTCTAAAGAGTTTGAGGCATCCCCTCAGCGCTTCAGACCAGGCGCAGCGGAATGACAAAGTCAGACTACCAGCCTCTGTTTTTTGGGGGACTTTCTCCACTCCATTGAAGAAACTGTTGACTATTACCTGTAGGTAAGGACCAAGCGAATTCTTGAAGTTTGTTTTAGAACACGTTGATGCAAAACATTATGAAAGATAGTGACGCATCTTTTATAAATAATCAGTGATAGTTAAGGATAGGATTCTACAGTACATGCATTGTCTAATCATTTTATATCCTGTGCATATTATATATTCTCTATCTAACACAGAAAGTATTAAAACAAAATCACAAGTATTGGGCGTAATCACAAGTCACACTATGCTGGGCGGTCGGATTTAAACTTGTAGCAAACTTCATCTAATTAAATGCAATTGCGTTTTGACGCTTCGAGCTGCTGCACAGTCGATATTGAAGGATTCCCCCAGAACGTCCTTGAGTAACAGTTTTTAAACCTAGCATTGTGTCTTTGCCGTGTGATCATTTTAATACACAGTTAATAACATAAAAGCTGAAAGAGAAACGTTCCTATGGTTTCCGTGTCATAGAAAGCCAGCGTTATAAAATAGAAGAAACCACGAATTGGGTGAAAATCCCAAGTGATGGTTATGTCTTATGGTGTGCACAGGGCAATTATGTAGGCGGGTTTTATGGCGAAATAAAGGTTCAGTGGTAAAGTGGGTACTTGCAAATTAGTTTCAAAGATTTCCCCGCTTGTTCAGGGGGTCTAGTTAAAAAAAGGTTCTATTATTCAAGAATGAACAGATGGAGACCAGAGCGAGCTGCAAGCCAGAAAGTCACGACCGAGTCTGTTTTCAATATTGATGTTAAAGATCTCCTAATTTACTGTACATTACTAACTTGTTGGAACCCTTGGAGAACGAGACTTAAAATCATGTGGCCCCTGTGTCTTTATTAAAGCAGTTTTCACGTTTTTTAACGTCAAGGTCTGAGCTAACTTTTTGTCTGGCGCGATTAAAAAGTGAACGTTCATGCTTGACGCCTTAAGACGGGTTGCGACGAAGAACTCAGGGTTTTGACAGATGTTGACCTTTTATTGCGGTATTACTCTTGAAGAGAAATAAGTGCAATGTAAACGAAGTATTGATAAATGTTATATGTTATTGGAATCATTTTCTCTCTTCATTTGTTTTCCAGTGATGGAAACTCATGATTTATTAGGGCATATGAAGCGCATATAACCACGTCATTAATTATCATTACTAGGCGTGTTTTTTCCATGAGTCCATGAGATACCGGGGTTTATCGAACACTTAAAACAACCGTTCACTATTTACAAAAAGCACAAATGTTACATTTCATTATCTCAGCAGATACCCAACAGTGCTTGCAACTTGGAAGTGCATTTTCACTAACTTTCTCAGCGATGTAAGAGAAGAAACTCCAAGACATTTAGAACAGTTTTAGATGTTCCTTGCACAATCCTAACACGATTCCTATATTTTTTTAATCTGATTTTGAACAGTTATTTTCTTTAAAAAAAAACTGGTTTTGAGCACAGTTTTTTCTTAACTGTATTTTTAAAAACTTTTTTTTAAACAGGACGAAGGTGAGGTATTTTAGGGAGCATATTTTTATTTCTGAATCACTAAGAATTACATCAGAGAAAAAGTAGTCTGCTTTGGAAAATGATGGAGAAAATAAGACCCTCAGGGGCAATTGCAGACAGATTTGTATCTTGATCTTTTAAATCACAGAGGATTATATGACGTTTCGTCTGAAATCACACTTCTGAACTTTGATCATATAGCTTAAATATGTTCTGCTGGATTTAAAATTTAAACTGTGACTTGAGGGAGGAAATTCAGTGGATTAAGGTATGGCAAATTTAGTGTGTCACAGATTCCAGTGTTTGGCATGGTGTGATCAGATTCCTTAAGCAGCAATGCATGAAGGTTAATGAAGACTCAGTAGTTAGTTCTGAATTGCTGTCCTTTTGATTGGTTTATTTCAAGTGTCCAATGCAGATTTTATATGTATTCTTCCAATGTAATTGTGCCCTTGTAGTTATTGTGCTAGCAAAACCCAGAGCTGCACAATTTTGTAGGAAAGAAAGTACAACATACTTACAGTTAGTATCTGGGAGCGTTCTGAATGTTGTAAAAAGAAAAAAAATACAAAAGAAGATATAATGTATATATAGGAAATATGGTAAAACATCCTGAGAGTAAATCAGGCTAAGGGCTGTTCTCAATTCAGCTAGGCTCCCACTGGACAGATAACCAACTAACCTTTGTAACACTAAACCATTTCTGTAAGAAATAAAAGGGGCAAACAGTATATCCACAATACTGCACGTATGGCACTATCCTGCTCAGATTACACTTTGAGGCCTGGCCTTTTTTATGGACAGATTTAACTTGAATAGGCAATAGGCCCCTAGAAAAGACATCTACTGGACCACAACTGTTTTCATTTGTATGTGTTAAGCTGGCATTTCCATGCTGGAAGACGACCTGTTTTTTATCTTCTTATCTACACTGCCATCTGATTTACTTACATTAGCAGAAGGGATTTCTACCAGTTCACAGACCTCAGGGCATCAGGATGTGAGTTTTAACATTTGCAGTTGCACTGGATGGATGTTTTACTCTATGTGTAGCTGATGCATTGTCTCATGAACTGCATGTGACACATTTTTAGTTAAAACTCTATAAAGTGTATAAACATATACACATACTGTTTACAGACATCAGTATGTGTGATGTTGGGTCCTTCAAAGAGTCAGTTTGATCAGACACAACAACAAATACATTTAAAGAAGCTTATTTATTGTGTCGGGCAAACTTTTATTTAGATTTTCTGCTCTACAAACTTCTGATGAGATATCAAGACAAACTATCTTTGCTTTTCAAGGTTATTAACTTTTTGGAGTTTACATTGAACAGCTGAGAGAAGAAATGAGATGACGTTGCTACTTTTTTCAGAGTGTTTTTTTGGGTTAAAGGTTTGTGAAAAATATTAGTGTGCAAATTGCTAAATTGATCAAAACACTGTTACTTATTTTCTTGAAATTGGAAGTTACAGGTTGTTATACTTAGTTTTCATCTCTATACCAATTAGTTCTTGAAAGTACTCCATCAGAAAAATAACACATATCCCATCGAGACCTAAATGAAGCTTTACATTTTTAGATCAGCGACATGTGTGAGTACTGTAGGTTGTTCTTTCTGCAGTGGAGTCACAGGTGACAGGTATTCATTGAGGGAAATATTGCATGTCAAAATGAAAGTATAGTCTTTTCTCCATCAGTTGCTTTTCCAGATGTTTAAGTCTCTCTGTGACATCATTAGTTCTGTTCTGTATGTCCCTTTTGTTCCAAAAATTTGGAACATATACAGTAGTCACCACATGAAAAGGCACTGAATATTATGCCATTTTCTCAATTCTTGTTCTCAGAAGCCTTCATTATTTAAAGGTATCCTATATAGGGGGCACACGGATGTTTAATGTGGTATTCATGGAGCCAAAATCCAGATGGTGATAGTAGACTTCCAATAGAGAAACGTTTCACTGTTTAAATAGTGACTCACAGTGAAAGTATGGGCTATAAATTTAATATTATTCATAGGTGAACCCTAACTGGTCCTATAACAGTCTGGACTTAAGGTCTGCTCTTTCAATTAGAATATTAAATGTAACTAGTGTCCATCCTTGCTCATTTTCTGTTTTGTTTTTACTTGTCTTTCATATACTGTATATGTGTATATTATGAGTAAATGTAATGTTTAGTATGTACGTTTGGGGGATATAAGTAAAATTAAAAGCTGTTAAAGTAGAGGGTGCAAATAAAGTAGAGGGTGACTTGATTGTCAGGGTATATTTCTGGTCATTTAAAACTTAACTTTTTCAGTGGCTGTTTTCTTTTGATTCTGTGGAAGTTATTAATTTGTTCATGTGAAACTCTTCATTGAGATGTCTTTTTTTTTAGGAAAAACTGTCGGAATGCTGGTGCTAATTTATGGAAATAAAAGTAGTTGCAGGCTCTTCTGTGGCATTCCCTGGTTAACAGATGGTATTTTGACAGAAATTGCTTTTGGGATAAAATGTTTGCTCCTGTCTGGCAGATCAGATGCAGCTGCAGAGAAAAAGGTTAACCTTTGCATATGAAATTGTGGCAATTCATTAGTATAAAATATTTTAAATGAAAAAAACCTAATTAGTTTTAATATGTTAAATTAATGCACAGTGCTGGCTATAATTATCGTAAGATGAGGAAAAAAGATTAATTGATGCTACTAGGTAAAGACGCTAGATTCTGAGGAGAAATCGGTACTGTAATATTCTGAGAAATAGTCTGTTTAAATGAGATTTTTAACCTCATATGAAAAAATGGAGGAGCAATACATAAAACATGTTTATTTTGTTTTAAATTACTTCCAGTGCAAACAGAGCCACATAGCAAGAATAAAGTGCAGTGATTATAATTCTTACCCTCCTTTTCTGCATTTGTGACACCCCTCCAAAGGATTTCTGAGTGCTCTTTCATCCTAGTGAGTGGTGGCTAAGATTCGTGGTGAATTAATGTTTTGCAGACACTGGGAGTAAATGCTTATTTTACAGGGAATGGTTCACATCAGGTTAGGAGTATGAAAACATAATGAACGAGCTTTGATTTCAAATTTATTTGAGCTTTTTGAACTGATGGTAAGTCTGATTATCGACATAAACAATTATCATTTTCACAATCTAAAGAATTTAAGGTTTACTGTAAATACTCCAGATTTACTTGAGAAGCAAATCTTGATACAGTGTGATACAATAACACTTGTATGAACCAGCTGGCACTGTCTGAGTGGTACTCATTATTTCAATCAAAGCAGGCTGATAGATCAAATACCTCAGTCTAGTGTCATTCATTGGTATTGTTTTTGGCACATTGAGTAAGTTCTGTGTGTTGGAATCAGAAACCACATTTCATTAATCTCTACTTTTCACAGGATCATGATGGTTAAAAGGAGGAAAAATCTTAAGCAGTCCAAACAAAAGAAACAATGCCAGCTCAGAAAAAAAAGAATGCTGTAATTCAACCTTCCATGTGTGCTTTTCAAGGAACATGTTCGCACTTACGAAGTTCAACAGGTCAAAGTCTGTTACCATATGTCACACATTATTGCTTCTCTGAGGGGGAAGTGTCACAGTATCCTTTTAGACATGATTTTTAATGAATATGGGATAACTAATATTTGACTGATGTATGCCCTGTCTTTACCAATCTGTCCTGTCATTCTAATGGTACAGTACTTAGAATGAGAGGACAGATTCATTTTTCTGAATAGATTGCCGTAAAGAAAATCAATTAGCCGCTGGTGAAATATATTTCTCAAAATCTGAAATTATATTTGGGATGTGCAGCTGAGGAGATAGATCATTCAGAGTTTGTCAATTCCTAATTAGATGCTAGCAACCAAACATGCTAGATGGACAGACTAGCTTCCTGTGGTTGGTAACCTTTCTTATGCTTTTATGGTAGTTCTCCTTAAGACTACATCATCTATGGTAGATGAATGGATTGGAACAATCCAGGAACTAGGGAGGGTACCTTGCTCATACACTAGGTACAACAGCAGAGTCCAGCATGTACACCTGATCTTGGAGAGCTGGGAGATATCCATTGCTTGGCCTATGGCAGGAAGTTACAATTACAATCTTGTAATGCAGCTTGGTCTCACATACTGTAAAATCTCTTCTTAAGAACATACAAAAGGTTACAAATAAGAGGAGGCTGCTTCTCCTATCTAGCCAGTTTATTAGTTAGTAGTTCAGTTGGGTAGCTGCGTCAGCATGCGTAGGCTGCAAAGGAACAAGTAATAGGTTTATTCCATGCTGAAAAAAAGAAGAAAGAGAACACAACGTTTCGGCCGTGGAGCCTTCTTCAGGTGTGAGAGTTATTAGTTAGTAGTTAATTGATCCAAGGATCTCATCCAATCTTTCATTGAAGGAAACCAGGGTATCTGCGTCAACACCATGGCTGGGTAGTTTGTTCCAGACTTACACATCCCTCATATTCATACGTTTGCATGAATGTTGACGAATCATTACACTCTTGGATCTCATGAAGTCCAAAAATAAAACAGTGCGGCGACAGTTTAATGTGTAAATAGGTCTTGTTTTAATAACTATACTCTTGTTAACAAATATTGGAGTTCTGTGAGGATTTCTCAAATAAAAACCTTCAAATTTGTTATGGCCTTTTGCTATGGGGGCTTCACCATTCATCATTTTGGCAGATCATTTAGTTCCTTTTGAGCATGACAGAGCTCATGGATTATTAGCAGACTGTGTATTTTTCTAAGCAATTGTAAAATAAATAGGCGGGTGTGTTTTGGGTTAGTTTCCCAGTGAGAATATAGAGATTAGCAGATTCAGTAACAAATAGGCAGCATTTACAGCATATTTGGAATTGATTTTGGAGATAAGGCAGATATTTGTTTATAAATAATGTAATACAGTAGATGTGTTTCCAAGAACCACAACTGTTATAGAATTGTCCAGACTCTGCATGAACCTGCGCCTTATCTTTTCCCCTCTTTCTATGATAAAATTTAGTACAAGGCTGCTTCTGTGAAATGCCCAGGACTTCTTTTTGCCATGGGAACTGTGATGTTTATTTTTCTTTACACTGAAACAACACACATACTGTATAGTGCATGCTTCCATTGTAGCTCAAACAAGCCTTACATTTACTTCCCAATGAGGAAGAGTTGATTTCTTTTGCAAAGCAACATTTAGAGATTCCAAGCAGAGTCTAAGATAACCGTAAGCCAAGAAAGCTAGGAGGTGATTGAACGTGCATATTATAAGCACACATGAATGGGGGGCATGTGATTTTGCCCATGTAGTTTGTTTGCTCGCTGGTAGGAAACTGATCAGAGGATCTCATCCTGTCTTGCAACTTCTTGAAAGACGTTGTGATATCAGCTTTGACAACAGCACTGGGCAATGTTTCCCAGACTCCCAGAACCTTTTGTTTTGAAAAAGAAAGAAGTTCCTCCTGTTCTCATTTTTAAATGCACTTCCCTTCAGTTTCCTTTTAATTCGGTTCCTGCTTCACAACTGATTCAGATGAGGTACTGTATCAGTAGTTCATTATTTCAACCTTGCCTCATTTCGCAGATTATTGTTGTTGATGAAGCGTGTACTTAATGTTCTTTCCTACAGTCAGATCTACATGATATTATGAGCCTAGGAGGCTCTTTGAAAGCAAATTGTAAGTATGATCAAATTTAAACTTAAATACTAAACTGTTCCTTTGACTAATTTAGTGTTGTTTGAAGAACAATACAATACAGAAGGTAATACGAAATTATTTTTAAAGAGTTCTAATTCTCCCCAGCAGCAGGCAAATACAGTATACAGTATATAGTTAAATGCATGTTGTGCAAAGTAAAATTTGAATTGTTTAAAGTCACTGGGTTTTGTCTATTTCACACAGCTGGCAGCAGTTGTGAAGTATTTATAATCTGTGAAATGTAGACACATTAGCTCATGCAGAGTATGAACACAGAGTAAACAGAGCAATCTCAGAACAGGAGGAGTAACTGCAGTCCACCTACAGGGAGATTGGGTGTTTTTTTCCCCTTTCCTTTGATCAACAGTTTCCTTACCATGGCTTCGTGAAAACTGAATCTTAAGAATGCCTTGGAAGTGGAGAGAATCATTTCAAGCATGTACCATGAATTTTTGGTTTTGGGCTTTCAGAATCACAGTCCTTCCAAAACAAATGTTGCCTTTCCCATTGGGTTGTGCCAAAGAATTCAGTATCTTCAGCTTTTGTACATTCTGTATAAAAAAGGAATCTATACAGTACATTGATGGAAACAGTAGTACAGCAGTGAAATACCTGACCATCTAGTTTCAAGTTAATTTTCTGCTTAAACATGTTGTAGTTTTATGTATCTCAGATTTCTTTATTTGGAGTAGTGTAGTAAATTATTTACCTTCTTTTGTACATTTTAAAGTACTGTTATACTTTTGCATTAGATTATAATGGTCTCTGTAACCCTGTGCTTGAGCTGTTATATTACTGTTTATAATATATCAATGAAATATTTATTTTCTTTTTCTACTCATTGTAATAATTATTAACTTGTTGACTTGTTTTTTCTTTGTGTTTATATCCCCTTCTGTCTCTTGTGAAAGTTTTTAAAAGATTATCAAGTGGATATCTTTTATAAATCTATCATTTGCAGTCATACAAAAATACCAGAATAGAATTTTTGCTCTAAGACATTTCTCAGCTATCACCTGGAAATATGTCTTATTCATGAAACTGCTGCTGTAGATGAAAATAATTCAAAATTCCACCAGCCTAAAATATAACAGAAACTACATGCAATATTTATTACATTAATATTGTCCCATATTAATTCTGGTTCCTAGCTATCTATGTCATAAAATACGTTCATACACATGAGAATAAAACTGATAAAAGTGAGTTTGAATAAAAAGCCACATGCCATGTTCTTCTTCCAAACCTTTTTTGAAAAATGAATGTTCCTTTAATTTCTTCTCCTGGATTTATTCAGGAGAAGATTTATTTATGGATTTATTTATGTCTAATTTTCTGCTTTAATAGGATCAAGTCACAGATCATGGAAGTGAAAATGTCTCTTCACTGGTCCTTTAGCTTTCCAGTCTACAAATCAGTGTAATCCAGAAGCCACTGATCTTTAGTTTTTCTTGGTGACAGTTCTGCTTATGGGATAAGAATCTTAAGGGTATTAGCAGATGCCAACAAATCCGAAGAGGGTATTAAGTTGAAAGAAGTAACTATTACACTCACTGTTCATTTTAAGAACTTCAGAGTGAAATCTCCACTGAAAGCAATGCAAATCTATTTTTTCCTTCATAAAAAGTTAAACTGGATTTTACATGGCATTTATTAAATTTATCACACTGCGTTTCATGGTTGTTGGGAAAATGTGTTCATAACTCTGAGTAACCTTGTGGTTATGAAACTGGGATGGCCTTAAGATGAAAAACTCAACTATGTATCCAGATGTTGGCTTGAACTCTGAAAGCTGGGCTTGCTGAATGTGCATGACAGGAAATCTGTTGTGTATGGTCTTTAACAGACTGTTCTTTCACTATTGTAGGTTCTGCAAAGTGGAGGCAATTAATGCAAGAAAACTAAACACTGATGCTACAGTCCCTTGAAAGACAAAAACAGATTGTGGAAATCTTTACTGATTTTTTTATCAATAAGGTTTACCTCACTTTTGGAGCTGAAAGCAAAATGGCTAAATACAAACTGAGGAAATCAATCCTTTTTATGACTGTACTTGTGCTATGTATCAGTGGTGCCCTGTGCCAGAAGGACTGTACTGGTGTGGATTGCCCATTACTGGAACATTGCATTGAAGAAGTTTTGGAAAGAGGTGCTTGCTGTGCGTCCTGTTTGCAGAAAGGCTGCACGTGTGAGGGTTATCAGTATTATGATTGCATAAATGCCGGCTTCAGGAATGGTAAAGTTCCCGAAGGAGAATCCTACTTTGTTGATTTTGGAAGCACCGAATGCTCTTGTCCAAAAGGAGGTGGAAAAATAAGTTGTCATTTTATTCCTTGTCCTGAGGTTCCTCCACATTGTATTGAGTTTTCTGAACCATCAGATGGATGCTTGCAGTGTGAGAGATTTGGCTGTGTACATGATGGCCATAAGTATGATGCTGGTCACACTTTCCAAATGGACCCATGTAAAGTCTGCCACTGTCCACATGCTGGAGGAGAGCTCATGTGTTATCCTGTCCCAGACTGTGATTTAGGAACCTTTCAGACACCACCTCTGTTTCCCACAGCCCATGAAGAAAACACGTCAGAAAAAAATAACGATGAACTTTCAAACTACGAACGGGCAGGGTCTGAAGATCGGTTGTCCCAAATATCTCACCTGCCCCAAAGTGAAAAACTTCCGCTTTTCAAGACAGACATCAAAGATGAAGACGAGGATTATGACTATACACCTACCGATTCTGCAAAATCAAGCCTATTTGATCTGGCTGTACCCACAAAGTCTGCAGTTACTTTGGTGTCCTACTCTGATAAACCTACTGCTCATGAAATGTTTAACGAGGATTTGAAACAAGAACTAAGGCAAAAAATCAGAACTCAGGAAGAAGAAACTAAAAATGAAGAGATTACAGAAGATCCTCTTGTAGGTCCTACATCTCAGGTCTTCCAGGATGTGAGAAAGAGCATGGAAGGAATTTCTGGGAAAGGAGCTGAAGACTATGTTACACCTCACATGGCTGAAGAAGAACATGAAGAAGATGAACAGGTTGTGACGTTAAAAGACGTTACGGAAGGCGGGACTGACAGAAAGGAGGTGACGTATGTTATTGATCATGAACTGCAGACTACAGAAACTGTTCCTGCAGTAGAAAGCAACAGCCACTCCAGCACAACTGAAGAGAACTTTCTGGTGCAGGAAGACCCTCTTGGGAAACATGGGCAGGCTGTGTTACCTACCATTAAATTTAGTCCAACAACCCAGCCTCCTCAAATTATGAAAGCGGTTGAAGCCCTGATTTCTAAAAAGCAATCTCAAACACTTTACAACTACCAACCTGAGCGAGAGAGGAGAAACAATTCTGTTGATTCACATCCAGCATCGCAGGGAGGTGAGTTCACTGAATCATCATATTATTCTCTCAGCTTGTCTGATTGCTGTTCTCTTTTCTTATTGTCTGCTATTATTTCTTGCCGGCACTCCTAAAATGATGTTTTTTTTCTTTTGAAAATGTCTTTTTCCAAGGACTTTAATGTAATGGGTTGTTGTGAATGCCAATTCCAACAAACGCTACTTCCCTGAAAATAGTGTGCAATTGCACCATGCAGTCTGTTCAGAATGAAAGACTTGAGTATAATGCTACTTCTTGTACAAATCTGTCGTTCATCAGAAGCTAATTTCTGGTATAGCATGGACTGCATACAGTATGTGATCCATAACAAAAATTTAGTAAATGATTCCCCAGTTGCAAAAACATTTTCCATTTAACGACCCCTAGAGGTGAGAGGATTAGCTCATATTAAACACAGAATATATCCATTGCACTGTATTTAAAGCAGAGAAAGATATGTTAGTTTTAGAGTAGGAATTCAAGGTCAGAAAAGTAAATGGTTTTGTCATTGAGGTTGTGAACAGTTCCTGTTAATGGGAAATAAGATATGTTTGTAAAATTAAACTGGTAGTAATTTGTGACATGAAAACAAATGGAATATGGTGCTCCTCTCTGCTCCTGCTGTTCACATCTGCTTTGTGACTGTGAGTTTTCAGGTTTGTAAAAGTCATTTCTGCAAGAGGAAAAGCCATGTATCCTTCACAATACTTACATTCTTAATTAGTAAAATATGTTAGCAGAGATAAATCAGAAAGGTGACAGAAATCACAAAAGATGACAGTTCACATAGCATATTGTTTATTCCCACTACTGAATCTTTGAATAGTACAGCTGTTTAGATTTGTTAAAGTTACGTTTGTAAGAAATACATCACACAAACAGAACTGACAACCATTAGTGCCTTAACATACTGTAAAATTGGTTCAAAACTACTGTAAAGTAACCTGTTGAGAGTACAGATTTAATTACTTACAGAACTATATACTAATTATATCTGGAGGGCACATCAGAATAAGTTTGAAGGAAGTGACTCCCCCGTGTATTCATACAGTACCTTCATTTCTCTATCTCAGTTGTGATAATTCTCTTCCAAGACCACTGTTGGCGATATATATAAAATGTGATGCTTTTCAAATTTGTTTAACATGCAAAAGATCACTGTTCATCAAGTACATTGAACCACATTTTTTCAAGCGATCCACTTGTGGATTCAAAATTAAACCTTACTTATTTAGGCCTCTGGGTTAACCGATATATTTAATTTCCTATAAATGCAACTTTTTTCTATCTTAAAAATAAGAACATAAGAACGCTTACAAACTAAAGGAGGTCATCTGGACCATCCAGCCAATTTTGTGGTTCAAGGATCTCATTCAGCCTTTTTTTGAAAGATAATTTCAATTACTTAAAAGCGTTTGGTTTCAACAACATGGATGGGTTGCTAATTTCATATTCCCATAACCCTTTGGATAAAGAAGTGCCTCCTGTTCTTAGATATAAAGCACTACCATGCTCTGGTTCATGCTTTGCTGATCATTCGGAAGAAAAGCACTAGGTTTACTTGGTCAATTTGTTTGAGGATTTTGAATTCCTCTTATGTCCCCTTGTAATCTTCATAAAAGCTGTATGACACCATAATAATAATTTAAAAATGTTTCCCTAACATTTTTATTAAAGGCTTGATTTATTTTAGCAGAATGAAGGTATTCATAGGTTCAATTACATACTGCATTCCTTTTTGTTTGCGATCCTGTTAACAACAAGATAAGTAGAGGAATTCCGTGTCTTTCTGTATGCATTCTGGCCCTGATCCAGAATAAACTCCTATGCATCAGCTTTGCAAATTGAGTTCCCTTGACAGGTAGACCCACCTTTTCCTTTTCATCTGAGTGACCACGCAATTGCATTTCTTGTTTTTGTTTTGACTAAAAACAGGCACTCTGTTGGTCAAATAGAGGATCAGAGGTGGTGACATTCAGTACAGTACATTGCATAAACACTGCAAGAGTTCAGGTTGGGGCTTGCAGCTCTAAATAACTGATAGGTTAGATTCTGGAAGCAGGCATTGACATGACAAGGGCCTTGTAAATAATTAAAAGCCGATTGTGCTACAGTAATGGTTTCTTTATTGAAATAAACATTTAATGAAGAATACTTACCCCGAATGAGTCCACTAAATGGCTAAAGCATAAATATTTTGGGGGGTTTAATTATTGGGCATGGAATTAGTCTGCTCCTTAGAAGAATACTGCAAAAGCAGAAGGTTTTATCTGGAGCACTGAAGGTAGAAAATTATTTGTAACAGTTGGAGCTGGGATTTTAGAGTCTTTTGGCCATTGAAGGCATTCACTCAGTGTATAGTTGGAGCTCTGTAGGCCAGATGTTGACAGTTTGACTCAGTGTCACATCACTGGCAGGCTTTGATCCGGTTTCTCCCAAACATTGGAGTAGGATAAGCTGGAACTGGTCATGGCTCTCCAGGCTTCTAAAAGTAAAACAACTCCAGTGACTAGCCGGCTTCCAGCAGTTACATCAGGAAAAGATACTCTGCTCTCCCAGTTAATATTAACTCCCTGGCCCTGCAGAACGTGGTTTTACCTCCGGAACAGGTAAAGGTTTATCCCATTCTGAAAAGGGACAGAACATCTTGGCTGTGGAGCCTTCTTCAGGTGTCCTTCTTCTTCACAATGTTCCTTTGCAGCCTACACATGCTGACGCTGCTGTCTACGTGACTTTACATCAGATATCTTAAAAGTTATAAAGAGTTGCGCACTTGTGGGACTACAAATTAAACCTTACATATTTACAGTAGGTCTCTGGTTGTACTTTTTAACATGCTGGTGCAGAGCACTTCTTAGTTAGCTGATGTCCAAAGATGTGTTGACAAGAGGTCAGTACTGGGTTTCACTTATGGTAGCGTCCCTATGTGTGAAACTCTTAGGTTATAGTGCTTTTCTGAGTATTGATGCCTCCTGGTTTGTTTCCTATGAATGAATAACATATGATGAAGGAACTGAATGAATGTCTGGAGAATACATTTGCCTTGAGCATGTGAATATCTCATTTTTGCATTTGCCTCTTTGATGTTGCCGAATCCACAGCATCTGATGTTAACTTCTGATTTTGAGGACTGTTATATTGTGCTACATGTTGCTTAAGTCTGGTTTTCCTTCAGTTCTTAACCCATTATTCCAAAGTTTCCTGTACCCTCGAGTAAACTTTTTTTAATGATTAAAAGTTTGTATTTTACCTACATAACAAACTCTGGGATTTAAAAAAACTAGATTTCCCTGTCATTGTACAATCTGTATTTTGTGTTTTTAATGCTTTTATCAGCCATACATCTGTGTACACTTCAGAGATTAGTGAGTAGAGAGAATAGTTTTGTTAAAATTCAGTGGTTGTGTTTTAAAAAGCAGAGAAACAACTCTAGTGTGGAGTATAAAGAGACGTTTAGTCATGGAAATGCTCTATCATTGGCATGCTTGTCCACTTCAAACAAAAATATTTTGAAAAATTTGGAAATATTAAGTTGTGCACTTACTGTAAGTAGTTCATGTTTTGGGAACAATAGGTACCAGAGTTATCTACCCAAGAAAGTAATCCAGCTGGTGCCCAAATACAGCTGTAATTTGTATTTTTTTCATATTATTTTGCTGTGTTGCAAATACTATCTTATGAAATGGAAGAGGCACTCATACACTGGTGCGCTTATTTGTTAATTTGCTTGTTGTTTTGCAGCACATAACTGGCATTCTGAATATTTTCAGTATCAGAGCTGTTGCTTCCACAGTTCTATGCCTGAATTCCTTTTTCTGAGCAGTTCTCTTATGCTGTTACATTGTTCCATATTTGTGTTAATTCAAGCACCGCTGGTGTTCAATCAAGTGATCCTCATTTACATAATGAAGCCAACAGATTGTGTTGGTGGCTGTGTTGAACCGTACTCGCTTGAGTACATCTGAATATACAAAAACAAACACAGAAATGTCATTCACTTTTTCAGACATAACAATGTGGTATTCAAATAAAAACACATTATTCACTTTTGTAATCAAATAGTTTGAACTAGCGATCTGGAGGTTTCCATTTGCAACATTTTCTTTGTGTGTGGTATGCTGATTTCTTGGCCAGTTTTAATTTGCTTATGGAGCAGGAAGCCAGTTGAAAGTTGAGGACTTCTCCTGTGTCAGGGGACATGCAAAGCTGAGTTCTCGAAGATTTGTTTATTTTCTCATGGCTTTTTACAACAGGACTCGTCGAACACCTGAAGTACAAGACGTTCGTCGCAACTGGAGCCGTCTGTGTGTACTTTTAAGATATTGTGGCGTTCCGCTCCTGGCAGCCGTTTCCCTTTCCTTCCAGAAGGGTTATACAAGGAGGAGCCCCCAGGCAATCGCTCTCTCTCCCCTCGTGGCATGCTAGGGGTTACCTCGCAATGCGAGCACACCTGAAGAAGGCTCCACGGCCGAAACGTTGTGTTCTCTTTCTTCTTTTTTTCAGCATGGAATAAACCTATTACTTGTTCTTTTTCCACCTTCCACCTGCCCGCGGCTCTATTGCTCTCCGAAAAGGGCAATAAACTCCTCCCCTTGCTGCTGCAACTCGCCTTCTGTCTGCTCATTCTCTCCCCCTCTTCCCTCCGAGCTGACTGATTCGCCGCAATATATTTTCTATAACCTCCAACTTACATTCATTTACAACGTAATACGCTACAAGAACAGTATATACCGGTTTTATGTTAGTAAATGTATCATCTTTAGAGCTTTATGTCCTAGTGATCCTGCATGCCTTTCCAAGTTAGCGCTTCATTAAATATTGCTGTAAGTGGTGGAGTAAGTGGTGGAGTTTCAAAACCATGAAAATCCCTAGATATAATTTGTCGTCTCTGGTGATTTGTGTTCGACAGGAGGTAGATGTTGTGTCTTTTATCATTTGCACCATATGGTAAATGATAAAATGATAGCCTGACCAACTGGTTAATGGTAAATGGTTAATGG